ATAGGGTGAAGATAGCAAGGAAAGGGCTTCGAGGTACTAAGCAAAGGTGAAGGGCAAGCGACGGCTTAGCGACCGAGGTACCATGGCTAAGGTGAAGAAGAGAGTACTTGCATTGAGTTGAGGTACTAATCAAGCTATGAGGAGTCATATTATGTTGAGGATCAAATCATTATTGGAAGTGACTTAAAGCCATAAAGGTGAACTCATATGTATGGAAATGGTTCAAGTCACATAATTAAGGTATAATGAGAATGAGGAAAACATATTCGATAATAGAAGTCCTCAATTGCCAAATGAAGTGGCAACCAGCTCAAAGGCATTTACATTCTCTTATGCTTTGAATTTGAGTTTAGGAAAAGCCGTACTATAAAGAAGGATTCTAGTACAGTTGGTCAACTATGCAACCAGATGCTCACAACTATAGATCTACATCCTCTTAGCCAACCAAAGCAGCCAACAAAAAATCTCCAGATTCTACCTATTTTGGCTAGGGCGGCAGTGCCGCCCATAAACGACCGTTGGGACCCAAGAGGTATAAATACCATTTGGGCCTGCCCACAATGTAGATCCTTCTTCTCCAACGGTTCAGTTCAAAACTGAACAGACCAAAGCTCACATCTCTCTCCTCCATTGTTGCTCCTTCATCCCTCAAGCAAATCCTTGATTCCAACCATCAATACTTGAGAGAAAAGGCAGCAAAACTCGATTGGAGAGAAGATCCACTGATTCCCAAAGTCTAAGAGCATTTGGTTCACGTTTGGCCGGCGGTTCTAGGGTTTGTTACTCTTGGAGCTTGCTCCTAGCCGGCTAGGCGTCGCCCTTGTGCTTGCCAACTCGTGTGGCAGCCTTGGGAGGTTTGTAACCTCATCCTGCAGCTAAGAAATTACCCCTCACTTCAAGAGTTCATTCTCTTGATTTGAGAACGAGGGCAAGGCAAGCCTTGGTAGCGAGCCAATCCTTTTGTGGATGCCTCAACAACGTGGACTTAGGCAAGCCTTGGTGGCGAGCTGAACCACGGGATAAATTTTGTGTCTTGCGTGCTTCACTTTGTGTTCTTGCTGGTTCAGCTCTTTGCTAGCTGTTGTTAGGGTTTGGTAGCTCGATCCTCTCTTGTGTGAGATTTCTGTGGTATCCAGTCTTCGAACTTGATTTTGTCTTTCTGTTGCAGGATTGAGCAGTTGAGAATTTTTACAAGCCTATTCACCCTCCTCTAGGCCTCCTAGGCAACATCAAGGTCCTTTCAACCTCCACGCGCAGCGTCAAGCTCTGCAATGACGAGTATCCTCTCGCCCAAGCAGCAAGGTGGCATTGCGTTGCAACCGAATGTTGCAAGTGTATGTTCCAGGTGTTTCAGACGAATGTTGCATGCAGTTTATTTGGATGTTGCAAAAATACATCTAGATGTTGCATATGTTGCAATATATATATATAAATATTTCATCGTTCAGACGTAATGTTGCAAGTATTTTTATCTGGATGTTGCATATGTTCCAAACATATGTTGCGAGTGTATGTTCTAAATGGTTCATCTGTTTCAGACGTATGTTGCATTCAAGTATTTCGTGTTGACAAGTATTTCATGTTTTAGAGGTATGGGGGCACAGCCTCGGGGCGCCGGGGCATGGGGCGCAGCGAGCCGGGGGCCTGCGAACGGGGCGACGGACGGGGCGCGCAGCATGCTAGGGCCTGCGACGGAGCGTGCTGGGGGCTGGCGGACGCGTCTGGGAAACAAACGTAGCAGGCGTAGGCGTCTCTCCGGACGTCCAAGGACTAGCCTGTCCCAATGAAAAAATATTCAAACTTCACCCAGAAAAAAAGAACGATCTTACATTGGAAGCAAGGTTCCTCGCTAGGTCAGATCAAAATAGAGACTTTTGTGGGTCTTGGAAGGAAATCATAGAATTTGATATTTAACTGCTGCTGTTACGTGCTGACAAAAAAAACTCCTACTGTTAGGTGACTCGGAATATACCGCGGGGAGGAGTTCAAACCTTAACTGCTGCCGTCACCATTTTTTTTGCCGAGTGTTTATTGACACTCGGCAAACTATTTGCCGAGTGCTCGATACAAAACACTCGGCAAACTACTGTTTGCCGATAAATTAATGCCGTGTGTTCTATGCCGAGTGTTACACTCGGTAAAGCATTTGCCGAGTGTTTTTGATCCTTTGCCGAGTGTCCCTGACACTCGGCAAAACTACTGTATCCCGTGGTGAGAGCTGTGCATGATTGCGATTAAACTAGCAACCGAGCTGCTTCTCTTGGGTTGAGCTCCTACAGAGTTGAGCTGAGCACGACTACTCCATGGACATGGGTTATGAGTTATGATGGCTGTGACGAGCTTATTATTGAGTCGGTGGATACAGATGCAGAATCCAAGATGAACAAAAGGCCGGGGTTATAGGATCATGCAGTCTGTTCGCTTGTTGGTTTCAGCCAGGGCTTATCAGCAAGTCAATAGTGTTTTTCTCTCACAACAAACCAGCACTAGCCGGGCTTACCAGCCCAGAAACCAACCAGTGAACAGGCCGATGAAAGCAAGTGGCATGTTTTTCTCAGATAGTGGTACAATCATTTCAATCTTTTTTTTCCTGAAAGTCAATGATTTCAATCTTGCAACAGAGGAGGGTCAGCGGCCAAGTTTTTCTACTTGCCGAGAGTTTTTCTCCTTATGTCGGTTGTACATGCCAAGCGTCTCAATCAAAGGCTCTCGATCATTTACTATTTTAGTGACCGGACTAGCCTATCATTACATGTTCCTAGCTAGACCTAGAAGCGATAGGAGGATATCACTGCCGGGTCCAATTAACCTTGACACGACGGTGATAGTATTAGGGTCATTGTCGAGTCAATGACTTCAATTGATATCACTGCCGACGGCTTCTTTGAAAGTGCAGCATTTACTTTTAAGGCTTTGCGAGTGCAAATAGATGCCGATAGTGCAATTGCACTATTAAGCGCTGCATCTGCTGTAGTGTATCTCACTACCATCATATATCTCACATGACACGATAACAAATACATCGTAATTAATTAGAAAACCATACATACATGATAGGTTCATATGAAGTCATTACAAACCAAAGTCCATACAAAAAACATTCTGTATGAAAACTGCGTGACTTTTTTTACTTCTTTTTTGCTATTTTTATGGGAGTTATCCATTTTTTTGGAAAATGATTTCTAGAGGCAACTCATGTTGCCGACTGCCTCTAGAAATCAATTTTTAGTGGCGGTGGGTACTGGCCGTAGAAAATTTTCAGTGGTATAAAAATTTTCTGTTGTATAAAAAATGAAAGTGAATGGGGTTCATGACTGGTTGGGCCTACAATCACTACCACTGCAATAGTTTGTGCGAATGGCATTTTCATCATCCGGTTCTGTTAATATTGTTGCTGATAATATATCACCACCTATTTGTAATGAAGTTGTGCATCAATCTGGGAGATTTTTTTACCAATAGTTCATGACACGAATCGGCGGTGAAATTAGTTTCATGCCGGTTTGTGACATGAACCATTAATTGGTAAAAAAATGTGTGAGTGCTAGGGCAATCAAACCTAGAAATTTACTTAGATTTGGTTGAAAATTTTGGAGTGTACTTGTATCACCGTCGCCCCTCACTCAGATCCACTTCTCCCTTGCACAAGCCCACCTCCACTCCTCTCCCTCCCTCCCTCCCTCTCTCTCTCTCTCTCTCTCTCTCTCTCTAATGCATTCCCCTCCACTCCCGTCACTCCCGTCCGATCGGACGGAACCAAGGGCAGCGCTGTGCTGGGCTGGCAATGGGCGGCATGTTTGGTTGTGGATGCGGGCACACGGGCTATCAGCGCGGGCCACACTCGCAGCGGTGGCATAGGCTATAGAAGCGAGGTGGCGCGGCTTCGGGTGGGGAACATTATCACCTTTTATTGCAACATTACCGGGCGCAACATTATCACCTTTTATTGCAAGGTTATGCATCTTTTTATACTGTTCATACAAAAGTCGTTTAACCCATTTGCATACTGTTTCCATTTTATCAACCGCTTACCCCTGTTTAAATGGTTGTTTGCCAGTTTTTAAGTGGTCGTTTAGCCAAAATATTAGCTAAACGACAAAATACTAATTGTTACCGTTTACTGTTTAGGATAATATTGCTTTGTAATGTGATCGAAGAGACCTCGAGGGCCAACCAAAGGGGATCTAGACAGTAGAAAGATGAAAAGTAGTGGGGTAAATGGTCGTGACCTAGGGAAGCTATGGCCTAGTTCAGCATGGTTATGGCTTGGCAGTGGCGGTTGGGGCCTAGCGGGAGGTGCCTGATGAGGTTTTGGATCGGCAACGATCAATATCGGGGTGCCGACATTCGGTAAACCACAAAGCGGTGCTCAGAAAATCAAGAGATACAACGGAAGTTGAACTTGGGCGGCTGTCGGCTGGTGATTTCAAGGGGCATCCGCGATGGAACAGGTATGGCGAGTGCCATATTGGATCCTCCGCCCTAGGCTGTTAGTTAGAAGAGAAACACCACTAGTTGGCTATTGTCACGCTTTGATTGTTAAAAGAGAGGTGCACTAAACTGTGATCAGGATGATATATATATATATATATATATATATATATATATATATATATATATATATATATATAGAGAGAGAGAGAGAGAGAGAGAGAGAGAGAGAGAGAGAGAGAGAGAGAGACCAAACTCTCAATAATTATTTGATAACGCACTCGCATGCATTGAAACTCTTGATGCAACTTTTATCTACTAGTGAAACAAGTATGCTCCTCCAAGATGAAGCAAAGAATAATTCGTGGGTGGCAATTTCAAATCCACAAATCAAATCAGTGACAAACACAGTACTAGTAACCAAGTGTACTTTTTTAAGAGGAAATAACCAAGTATTTTACTTACAAGTTACAACATATATATACTCTCAATGAGCAGTTGGCGGTTGTATAATAATATAAAGTGATTTCCGTCGTGGAATGAATGAATGAAGCAGTGTATAAAGGTTATTAGTAGTCGAAATTCTGGTAGGTGGTGTAAGTTTGTCCGAACTGCCACCAAGCCGGCACGACATCCTGGAAGACGAGGTTCTGGCCGCCGGTGGAGACGAGCGCGAAGCTGAGGCCCTGGCCGACGAGCCCGCCGGAGAGGCAGTGCCAGTTGGCGCCCCAGTTCCTGTACATGGGGATCCAGTCCGTGTTGGTGCCCTTCACCGCCATGCTCTGGATGGAGCCGCTGCCGGCGACGTTGGTGATGAGCACCATGTAGAAGCCGTTGAAGCCGGCGATGGTGAAGCGCACGCCGCCGCTCTTCCAGCACTTCACCCGCTGGTAGAGGACGGGGATGATGCCGGCGCTGTAGATGCCAATGTTCTCCCAGGCGGGCTGGGACATGTCGAAGTGGGGGCGGGGCGGGCCGCACCAGCCGCCGGCGGGGAGGTCCCCGACGGCGGGTAGGTCCCAGTTGGGCGGGCAGAAGTTGGTGGCGGAGACGACGACCCAGTTGTTGCCGGGCTTGCACCACCCGGTCTTACTGCTGTCGCAGATGATGGCGTAGCACTGTCCGCACGACGCGCCGTCGTTGAAGAGCGCCGTGCTCAGTGCCGCGTTATTCACGCCGTAGCCCTGCTCGTACAGGTCGCTGTACCCGCACGCGCCACCTGCATGCATGCGTATGTTCGTGCTCATCGATCAAAGCCCATATACAGACGTCGTGTAGTATGCATGCATGCTCGAACTGATCATCACGATTCACGATTCACGATTCACGATTCACGATCACAAAGACAAAGACAGCTAGGTTACCCATTGTGTCGGAGCCGTTGGCGCCGCCATAGAATGTGGCAGTGGCCGGAAGCCAGTCGCCCGATCTCGCCGGCGAGACGAAGAGTGCAAGGACGACGGCGAGCAGCTGGTGGAGGAAAGGTTTCCCCATCTTGTTCAGAAACGGCCGGCGATCGATGCCAGTCCCAGATGCTGCTACGTTCTAGAGAGTAGGTAGAGACTGTAGACACTAGACAAGTTTGGAGCTTGGAGGTGAGGAATGTCTGCAGCAATGGTGGTGCTTATATAGCTAGCTAGGGTTAGGGTTCGAGCTGGAGGAGACGTACGTACTGGCCGGCAAAGAATCTGATATTAGATTATTCCAACAGAAATGCATTGCATTGCATGCATGGTTATCACATCATCACATATCGAAACGGACAAACACTGTTCCAACGACGATCGCAACGACCAGAGGTTGACTTGATAGTTGTTTATATTTAATTAAAGATCGATATCTGCATGTCTGCTTAGCACTGGTACTGTTTCTAGAAAGCAATTATATTTCCGTACTCAGTAGCCAGCTCCAGCTGGTGTGCATGTAGTTACAACTTACAACCACACTCAAGCATCTAGCTCAAATTTTCTCAGCTCTATTATTTTAGACAAACAAATAAAAAAAATGCACCGTATTAGGTCGTTACGTACAGTTCATCATTTTTGTTGTGTCTTTGATCTTGAAACATTCCCCTTATTTGGGTATCTTCGTTCCATTGCTTGGTTCAGTATATGCTACCATCCACATTTCATGCACGCAAGAACATATAAAATTGTGTTTGACTAGTACGCTTAGTACTACTTCACAATTCTTTATGTTCACCATTGTTCTTTCGATCAGTAGGTTATTACATATATATAGATAGATAATTAAGTGCCGGTACCAACTGCTATTAAACCGTGATGTTTTAAACTGCTCAACGCCTTGGAATCATTACCATTGCAACGGCAGGTAGCTTCTGCCTAACAATTGGTGAACTGAACTTTTGCAATTCTTTTCAGACGAACTAAACATTTAAATAGCACAACGTACAATATGTCCTTCAACTAGCAAGACAGTCCGCACAAATAGCACGAGTAGCTAGACTTTTCTTATTATATATTTTGATTTTTATTTAAAATAAAATTTATAGTACCTTTATTTATTACATTGTAATATGTCATCTCTTCATGTCAGCCATTGCATCCTAGGGTATGATCTCCGTACAGCTATTGTTGAATGGTTCCTTAAGGTTATTGTCATCTCCCTCTCTTATTTTTTTCCCCACTCATATATTGTGTCTTCGCAATTTTAGGTGAGTCCCAATCCATGAAGCCTTCGGGTTCCTCTTAAGATATAATTGTATTTGCTTTTGTTGCGTGCCTCTCGTGATGGTTTTGATGTGCCAAGCCCTTGTGCATATTCTACTTGGCGAACAACACGACGATGATGTGGTGAAGAGGCAATGAGGAAGTTGGGCCTTCTAACGTGATGAGAAGCTTGACATGCGATCAGTTTAAGAACCTACTCCATAGAGACTCACATGTTTCATGCGCAAAGAGTTTTTTTCCCTTTATACATATAATCTGATATCCTTGACATTATTGGCAAGTTGATCTTGTGTTATTGCACAGAATGTTATAAAAAGTGTATTCCCATCCAAGCATGAGTCTACATGGTCCTATTTTTTGTTTTGTTATTACATGTTTTTAAAATTCTTCATGGACTCCATTAGGTTCAATAATCTGCAGCGTTACCAAACTCGACACATATATCAAGATCAACGGCCCATGTCTCTTCTACTTTTCAATAATTTTATTCCAAATGTAACTATTATTTGTTGCACTTGACGTGGACTCGTATATGTATGTATTTTGTTTTTCAATTCATACGGAAATTGAATTAATAATTTCCTATATCTTTTAAATACAAGAGTTTAACTATATATAATTTATCCGTTGTGTTCTTGGTCTGTTTTTTATTTACAAGAGCGTTCTTGCTTTTTATGGTGTGTAGCCGATCTTTGCATCAACACCTATATTTGAAATATACAACAACCACCTTAAGCAAGCATCCGGGACTAAAGGGGTCCTTTAGTCCCGGTGACTAAAGGGGGTCCTTTAGTTTCGGGTCAGGAACCGACCTTTAGTCCTGGTGGGTTACATCAACCGGGACTAAAGGTCCTCCCAGCTTTAAAAAAAATAATGCCTCACACCGCTCCGTCCCATGAGATTCGAACCCAAGACCTCATGCATTGCCTCGCGCGTAGCTTACCACCCCACCTACACAACACATCTAACAATGGATGTGATGCTTCCCTTTGAACTAACCCATCGGGGACCTTTAGTCCCGGTTGGTGTTACCAACCGTTACCAACCCTACATGGTCTAAAGGACCCTTTTAGTTTTTTCCATGGACTCCATTAGGTACCATACCAGGACTAAAGGTTTGAGGACTTTAGTCCCATGTTGATGGCTCAACCCGGGAGTAAAGGTCCACCTTTAGTATCGGTTGGTGTCCCGGTTAGAGACACCAATTTCCTATACTAAAATGTCTCTCTAGTCTCGGCGTAAAAATATCGGGACTAGAGCCCATTTTAGCCTCGGACGAAAGGTCTATTCTCTACTAGTGAACTCTTTTGGTGACTATCAAATTTAAAATACACAACATATGTGCAAGCTCATTACTTCTACATTTGTACTATGCATTGTAATAATAGTTTTTATCAGAGTAATCTAGTTTTCATTGTTTGCTATTTACATTTTCTAGATAATCCTTTTTAAGGAGCTTCGTGTTTTATTTACAGGTAATAAAAGGTGACTTTGAAGATCATACAACACACGAACAAGAGAGAAATATCCGTGTCTCCAGACTATAACGGAACACTAACGCCAATTGTAAGGGACCCAAAGAGGGCTTACATGTCTGGTAAGGTAAATGAGATAGTATTTCTATTTAGATCTCCAGGAGACCCAGAGGGGGCGTACATATATGTAAGGTCTGTGATATATAGTATTTCTAATTTAGATCTCCAAGGGCTCGGATGTGGTAGCGGGGCTTGAGCCCCCCCTAGGAGGTAGGTCTCAGCCTGAATTGAACCTCACACAATTTATGTTTAAGTGAGCTTTGCATTTGTCGTTTTTAAACATAAATTGAACCTCACTTAAACGTAAACCTCTCATCCCCCTCTGTTTAATGTTCACATATTTGCTAAACTATTGCATAGAGCTTTGATTTACGCAAGCAGCCATGGCATGGACATCAAGATGGCATCTATCACACAGTACGCCAGTACCAGCAACGAGATACAATTACTTTGCACAATTTCGTATTATGGATTATATGTTTGATCCATAAATTTATTGAACTTGAACATCTCATTTTCATTGCAGACAAAAGAGCAGGGTTCGTACCAGCCTGCAAAGGAGTATGCCACGGTGATCAATGAGGTGCAGAATACATCTGCCAATTACAGATAGAAAGCTAATCTATGAGATCTATGGAATTTTAATACACATATTTAATCGCTTTAGGTTTATTACTATATGGTACGTGAAAGGGAAAAAATTGGTGCAAGTGTGGAGAACAACACATTTTGTGTGAGTGTTCGCTACCAGGACGTGGTTGAGGAGGTAAGAACTAGACTTTAAATCCCATTTTCCTTTCAAAACTTCCTATGATTATTAGTATTTAACCCTGTGTCGCAATGCCGGAGGGAGGGGGCACAACCCCCTACCCCAAATCCAATGCCTTCCATATTTCATCCATTCCATTAGCTACTTAATACCCGGTTAGCTAGTTAATGTTGTTATCCATGCTTCGATTCCGTGTCGTCCTTGCTCTATAGTAATCTGTAATAGCATCTTATATAATTAAGAATTAGACATCTCTATTATATTCTCCATCTCTTTTAATTTTTGTAGGGCCTACCAAATATCGAGTTCGTCCCCACAATACACCCTCTAATAAGTTAGTGTTTTGCTTGTTTGCTGCCTCCAAAATGATCTCCAATGGTATCTATATTATTTAGGATTAATCATTTTGTTATCTTCCTTGCCTCATTTGTTCCTGTTATTACTATGATTATTTTTCTAGCCTAAGAATTAGATTGATCCGGTGAAGGTTAGAGACCTAAGGCTAATTATTTTTTAATCTTTTGCTCTATAATATTCAGTGTTTTATTTAGATTTTCAAGTTTCTTTTGTATTGTTACAAACATTTATTCGGTTGTTATGTATACTCTTGTCGTGTACGTATTTTGTTATACGTGATTGTTGTCGGTTCGAACGGCCCCCTATGTTCAAACCTTAGCTCCGCCCTTGGCCATCGCCATCACTGTCATCTCCCAAGGCACAACAGTAGCAGCATCACCGCTAGCAGTTGTATACTCTTGTTGTGTACATATTGCTTAACTTTCTTACTGTTGTTAATTGCTTTCATGGCCCATCCAGCCATCCATGGATTGAAAATGTTGCAAGCCATCGTCAAAGATGGGAGAACTTTGTAGTTGTAGTTGTACTTGGTGTCGTGAATTTTGGGTGTTGGTTTAGGTTTAACAATGGTCATGTAACTTGTGCCTCTCGCAAAACATAAGATATACAACTAGTCTTGGCATGTATGATGCTTAGATTTGAAAAGAAACAATTATTTGATTGATATAAAACTATGATACTCTTGGGCCATCAAAAATTTTGTGACAAATTAAATTTTTATATTAAATTGCCATGTCAGATCCTAATCATTGCCACATCATATGACAATAATATTTTACGGTGTTTTATTACCCTACGCGCGTGGTACCTGCATAGTCCTCCAGCATGGTCAATGTTTTGCGACATTTTCTCTACTTGATAACAACGAAAATCGAGTGTCATAAATCCACGATGCAAGTATGAATGTCGCAAAAATTACGACAGGAATATAATTTTTTTGTCACGGAACGCCTTTAGCTATGGGGAATAGGCGATGAATATATTTTCATCGCACGTGTGTCGTAAATTGTGAAACATGGCATGATTTCCAGTTTCATGGCATGAATGCAACGATGTAGAAGGTCATATCTCATGTAGTGTAGTATTTGTAATCGACTCTTGGATTAAATTTGAACCATTAGATCATCATATTAAACAGTGTGC